CATATGTCCCCTCCCTCTTGAACCTCCTTCCCATTCCCCACCCCATCCCACCCCTATAGGTTGTTAAAGAGCCCTGGGTTCTGGTGGGTGTTTTTTTTGTTTTATGATCTGGTTTTTCGGTAATGATGCACGTGGGATCTTAACTCCCTGATTAGGGATTGAACCCTCACCACCTACAGTGGAAGGAGTCCCAATCATTGGACTGCCAGAGAAGTCCCCAGGTCTATTTTTTTGACATAAGATGCTGCCCATTGGTGGAGAAGGCGATGGCACCCCACTCCAGTACTCTTGCCTGGAAAACCCCATGGATGGAGGAGCCTGGTAGGCTGCAGTCCATGGGATCACTAGGAGTCGGACAAGACTGAGTTACTTCACTTTCACTTTTCACTTTCACGCAATGGAGAAGGAAATGGCATCCCGCTCCATGTATTCTTGCCTGGAGAATCCCAGGGACTGGGGAGCCTGGTGGGCTGCCGTCTATGGGGCCGCACAGAGTCGGACACGACTGAAGCGACTTAGTGGCAGCAGCAGCAGCAGCAACCCAATCCGGGCCACTGTTAACTTACTGACAGTAATAATCATTCTTTTTTAAAGTAGAAATTTTATTATAACTTACCTGGACTCAAAAATTGCCTTTCAATATCTCAAGAACAGAAAGAAACTTTTGACAGCATATGTGACTAAAAATATAGGGTTAAATGTGTTTTTATTGACTCACTGGGGATGTTCGTTTTAATTCACAAATATGTTTAGCATATTAACATGCAATAATGAATAAGATTGAGTCTCTGCTTTGGAGAAGATTAGAATCTGATGGTCAAGATGGACAGATAATAATCAGAGTCACCATGATTATAAAGAAAAAGAACTAATTTTTATTGGGTATCACCCATGCTGGTCACTATGCTAGATTACTTATGTTCTCTCATCTACTTCTCATAACAATCCTTTAATATGATACCCATTTTGCAAGCAAAGGTACTGAGATTATAAGTGGCTAAGTAATATGACTAATAAATCTGAGATTTGGATTTAGAATTCAACCCAGAATTTTTCCAACTTTATAATTAGCATTCTTTTCACCACATTATATATTAAACAGAAATACATAAAAAGAGCAATGAGGTATCAGAGGAAAAAGCAGCTAAGTTCATGGGTCAAAATGGGGAAGGAACAGCCAGGTCTTTGGCGAAGAAATAAGCTGGACCTTGGAAGGTCAGTAGCCCCTTTACAGGCAGATGGAAGCTGAAAGTGGCTGGAAAAGGAGCATCTAAGCAACATAACTACCTGAGTTAGGCTGACAGTACTACAGTGCATGAATGTTCAGGAAACATTGGTTTCTGGGTGTTTGGTGTGAGAAAGCAGACGGAGTGAGAAAGGCCAGCAGGTCTGATGTGACTTGCTGATATTTAACATGCTGAGGCTTTTCTGTGGGCAGTGGGGAGCCTTATGGAGGAGCTTTTCATTTTAAGCAAGGGAGGTTGTCACAGGGCTATCATCTGTTGATAGCTGTGGGTTAGTAATTACAACTTTGAAGACATTTGTGTCCCTGAAAAGCAACTGAAACTGCAATTTGCTTATGTTACCACCAGGAGGCAGCAGTCACATGATAAGAACTATGGAATTTGATCATTAACACACTTTGCTTTCCATCCTACTCCATAAGTGATTATGAAAGGAAGTCATGGCATGGTGACTTCAAGTGTATTTTTAAAAATCATATAAAAATCAGCTTTACATGTTTAGATATGTATGAAGCTTTCAGGTCACTTTTTAAAAAATATTATTCCACCAAAATGTAAAGACCCTTCATAAAGTATGTCAAAGTTCCACATTGAAAGTTTAATATTCCAAACTTTCCTGAAACAAAGCAACAGAGAATTCAAAGTAAACTGCAGAAATTTTATATATTAAAGTAAATTAAAGCAAGAAACAGAAGTACACAATTAATCTAATTATTTCTCTTCAATAGGGTGAAACTCTTGTCAGATTCCTCACCTGCAATACTTCATCAGAATCCAGCATGATTGCTTTTGCACTGCTGTCTTAAATTAGCATGTCTCAAGATATCTTGAGGAAAAACAGTATTAGGTTGTGCATGCATGCTAAGTTGCTTCAGTCATGTCCCACTCTGCAACCCTATGAACTGTAGCCTACCAGGCTCCTCTGTCCATGGGATTCCCCAGGCAAGAATACGGGAGTGTGTTGCTCCACCCTTCTCCAGGGGATCTTCCCAACCCAGGGATAGAACCATCTCTTGCAGCTCCTGCAATGCAGGCGGATTCTTTACCCCTGAGCCACCAGGAAAGCCCAAGTATCAGGTTAAGAAATCATAAACAATGCACATTAAAATTTTTGATTCTCCCCAAAACTGATCTTAGAGCTACTAAGAGAGTGAACAAGTACTAGAAGGAGCAAATTAAGTCACTTATCAAATCAAGCAACTGGAAGGAAGTCTCATTTGGGCAATACTCTTTCTTGGGGAGCAGACAGAAAAAGGCTGTTAGTATATCTTAAGCCTAAACAGAATTACGTTCCTTAGCTCACCATGCAATTCTTGAATGTGCCTACTACCAGGAATCTTACTCTTCTACTCTGCAGAGAAGGAACACGTTAAAAATAGTCTGCTTTCACAGGATGGTGAGTTCTGAGTCCCAGTCCAGAGTCTGTGCTCCTAAAATGCGCAAACAACTCAAGGAACACGCTTTATCCGTTCTTAGAGTTCAGAGGCAAGGAGGTCACAAGGTCTCAGAAAGTAACCCTAAATACTACTGCAAAGTTATGTCAATAAAGAATTTTCTAAATAAGCGTTTGTTGTTCAGTATTGATAGCTGTGGGTTAGTAATTACAACTTTGAAGACATTTGTGTCCCTGAAAAGCAACTGAAACTGCAATTTGCTTATGTTACCACCAGGAGGCAGCAGTCACATGATAAGAACTATGGAATTTGATCATTAACACACTTTGCTTTCCATCCTACTCCATAAGTGATTATGAAAGGAAGTCATGGCATGGTGACTTCAAGTGTATTTTTAAAAATCATATAAAAATCAGCTTTACATGTTTAGATATGTATGAAGCTTTCAGGTCACTTTTTAAAAAATATTATTCCACCAAAATGTAAAGACCCTTCATAAAGTATGTCAAAGTTCCACATTGAAAGTTTAATATTCCAAACTTTCCTGAAACAAAGCAACAGAGAATTCAAAGTAAACTGCAGAAATTTTATATATTAAAGTAAATTAAAGCAAGAAACAGAAGTACACAATTAATCTAATTATTTCTCTTCAATAGGGTGAAACTCTTGTCAGATTCCTCACCTGCAATACTTCATCAGAATCCAGCATGATTGCTTTTGCACTGCTGTCTTAAATTAGCATGTCTCAAGATATCTTGAGGAAAAACAGTATTAGGTTGTGCATGCATGCTAAGTTGCTTCAGTCATGTCCCACTCTGCAACCCTATGAACTGTAGCCTACCAGGCTCCTCTGTCCATGGGATTCCCCAGGCAAGAATACGGGAGTGTGTTGCTCCACCCTTCTCCAGGGGATCTTCCCAACCCAGGGATAGAACCATCTCTTGCAGCTCCTGCAATGCAGGCGGATTCTTTATCCCTGAGCCACCAGGAAAGCCCAAGTATCAGGTTAAGAAATCATAAACAATGCACATTAAAATTTTTGATTCTCCCCAAAACTGATCTTAGAGCTACTAAGAGAGTGAACAAGTACTAGAAGGAGCAAATTAAGTCACTTATCAAATCAAGCAACTGGAAGGAAGTCTCATTTGGGCAATACTCTTTCTTGGGGAGCAGACAGAAAAAGGCTGTTAGTATATCTTAAGCCTAAACAGAATTACGTTCCTTAGCTCACCATGCAATTCTTGAATGTGCCTACTACCAGGAATCTTACTCTTCTACTCTGCAGAGAAGGAACACGTTAAAAATAGTCTGCTTTCACAGGATGGTGAGTTCTGAGTCCCAGTCCAGAGTCTGTGCTCCTAAAATGCGCAAACAACTCAAGGAACACGCTTTATCCGTTCTTAGAGTTCAGAGGCAAGGAGGTCACAAGGTCTCAGAAAGTAACCCTAAATACTACTGCAAAGTTATGTCAATAAAGAATTTTCTAAATAAGCGTTTGTTGTTCAGTTGCTCAATTGTGTCCAACTCTGCGACCCCATGGACTGCAGCATGCCATGCTTCCCTGTCCTTTACTGTCTCTCAGAGTTTGTTCAAACTCATGTCCATTGAGTCAATGATGCTATCCAACCATCTCATTCTCTGCCGCCCCCTTCTCCTTCTGCCCTCAATCTTTTCCAGCATTAGGGTCTTTTCCAATGAACCAGCTCTTTGCATAGCTTATATTTATTGAGTACATCTACATGCCAGAAGTTGTAGTAAGCATTTTACATGCATTATCTCATTTAATCTTTGCAAAAATGCCAGACAATAGTAATTATTATTATACTCCCATTCCTATTTTAAAGATGAGAAAACAGGGGTGGAGTTCACATAACTAAGGGGTAGAAGTAGAATTTGAACTCAGAATTTGAGTGTGAAAACGAGTCTAAGTACTTAACCTAATCTACATGTATAGGAGAATAAATTTTCTTTTTAGGAAAGCTGGCCTTTAATGGGCTGCATGTCTGACACACTGCTCTAAACTATTCCCTTTAAAATTCTGACTTCATGGAGTGGCCCAAGACCACTATTAATAAGTAGCAGTTGAAGAATCGGTCCTGGTACTTTTTAACCTCGACTCATCTACTTCTCTCTATGCCTAGTTTGTGCATCTTGCACTGCCTTCCCAGCTCCTTGGGTTTACATTGACATGTCATCCCTCTCCACCCACTAAGAGCTGGAGATAGGTCTCCTTTTTGGCCTCGCCTCAAAACCTCCTGCTCCTGAGTCTAACCTGATCACACGTTCTCCTGAGTCCCGGAGGCTGACCGCAAAGAAGGAACTTTCCTTGAAATGTTCACTGAGGATTTCTCCTTGTCCCCTTAGCCTTTGCTGATCTACCTCTGCCCCGTCCTGACTCTTACACTGCTCACCGCCCACCCCTAGGACCCTGCTCATACTTTGCCATGTGACAGATATTAGCTGTAGAGACAAAGAAGAGAAATTCAAATACAGCTGTGAACTTTCAAAGATGCAAACGTGCGTGCCAGCTCCAGTATGCCTGCAGTTGTACTATACTACTGTACTTTTCAAGGTACTATACTGTCAGATTAAAAATGTTTTCTTTCTTTTTTTGCTTTTTTAATGTACATATTATTTGTGTGGAAAGTTATTATGAACCTATTACAGTACAGTACTACACAGTGGATTGTGGTGGTTGGGTACCCAGGCTCACTTTGTGGGACTTATGAACAAATCAGATTAGGAAGAGGCTCTCAGAACAGAACTCGTTTGTAAGTAGGGGACTTACTACAAAGGAGGGCGCCCTCTGTTCTTAGCTGCCCACCACCCTCCTCAGCTCCCTCTGGATCATGAAGAGCAGAGGAGAAAGGTGGAGAGGACAGAAGTGCAGACAAGCGTATCGCCATGGACCTCCCCACCCAGGCTCAGCGCTCACTTCATCAGGCCGGAACTTCCACCTCACTGTCAGCCCCACCAGCTTCCCCTTCCTGCCACCACCAGGGAGCTCTCACCCCATCTCTTCTCTGTATTCTCCCCCTTTCGTTCCCATTCTCCACCTTCCCTACTGCCCTACCCAACTAAGTCATAAAACCTGCCCCAGACCAGGTGAGTTCAACTTGGTCAGGATGCTAGTTAAGGAATTCTGAGTTTCTATTCAAACAACTTGCAGGCAGTCCCAGGACCCCAAGTTGGACTCATGCCTATTCCAGTAATGCAGTGAAAAGACAGGGTGGGACAACAGATAGAGCCCTAAGAAAAAAGAGTTTTTGAATTTATAAAACAAAGGGGAAAACGCAATGTTCTGTATAGTAGCCTGGCAACCTTTGTAAAATTCCTGTGACTACAACAAAATTCCTTCTGACTTCCAAATACCTAAATTAAAAATGAGCCTCAGAGCACAAAAACTTAAATGGTGAAGAGTGCCAGTACTGAAAAAAATGTCAATTAGATGGGGTTTTTTTTTTTTTAAAGGTTGCTGTCTTCTGTAGATTTTGCCTTTGAAATGTGAATATTCATTTGAATTAAGAAAATCACTTGTATTAAACCACTTCATAGTATCACTCAACATGACTTTTTGTTCACTGCCTGGAAAAGGTAATATTTCTTGCAGTTCTGTTCTTTCATGAAAGATTCCATTCCAGCAGCCTGCCCCTAGTGATGCCCACAGGCTGTGATCTCTGAGGCAGTCCTCACGCTAAAGAACAATGCAGGCTATCTGAAACCCCCACGGTCCCTCCAAACACACCAAGGGCCCATGACACTTGGTCTTTTGTTTCCCTCGCTGAAATAAAAGTGTGCATCTCACCTTTCTCTCCTCGCTTCTTCTTTGTTCTATCGATATGGTCCTTGAGCTGAATGCGGACCTGTCGTTCATTAGGTTGGTCTCGTATAAATGGATGCTTCATCAGTTGTTCTGTTGCTGGTCGCTGGCTGTGGTTCTTCACCAAGCAGCTCTCAATAAATGACTGGAATTTTTTTGACCTGAAAAACAGAAGAGATGAACCCATGGATAAAAGGACAATCCAAAGAAAAGGAAACTCACATTTTTCTGAAATACTAGAACAACAACAACAACAACAACAAAAATAGGTCCAATCAGCTACATAGGGATCAACCAGTCACAGAGTACATCTAGCTCTTAATAAAGCACAGTGGGGTTCAAAGGCATCCTTGCCACCAACATACAACTCAGGCGGTGTATGGCAGTTACATCACGAAGGCATTTTTGCACAGTTTATATGTCAAATCACACCAAAGGCCGACAGGCACCAGTGAAGAGAAAGATCCCGATAAAAATCATTCCTGGAAGGTCTGTTGGAATGAAGGAACCAGAGCTGGGCCTTAAAGAATTAGGATAAAAAAAAATCACTCTCGGGAAAGGACAGTTCAAGGAGGTAGGAATCCGTGAAAAACTAAAGCTGAGATTTAGCATACTATATGTCAGGGGACACTGAGGTGAGCTGTCTAAGTAAGGCAGGAAATGCAAGCTGGAAAAAGTAACACTAGGGTTGGATAGGTAAAGGGGACAATTTGTAGAAATGAACAAGATTCTCACATAGTAAAATGAAATTTTAGGCAAAATTTTTTTAACTGGCAATTTCAGAATCACTTTTGGACTTTGCTTTTCAGTGAGCAAGAACAGGATGTATGTGAATGTCTGCTATTGATCCATGGACTTGGAAACTTAACTTCAAGGGACTAAGTTCATACCCAGAAGAAATTTATCTCCTTCTAGAGAGGCACCATCTCCTCAGATGAACCCTGAGCCAGGGACACACAGGGGCAAGGGAGAGCCAGTGAGAGATAGCAGCGATTAGGGCACAAGTCCACAGCGTGGTAGAAATTAATGATGACTTGAGCTATGATTCATGAGTTGGGCATGCCTGTTCCGGCTGAACGTGCCAAGAAACTGTCCAGCATCATAAGTAATTAAGCTCATGATTCTATAGCATGCCTTTCCGAGGTGCCCCACTGTCAGCAAGGCACATCACTCTCGGAGGCCTTGGGGGAGCCCTGCACACCCTCCTCACTCTTCTCACCTTGATCAGGAATGGAGCCATTCTGTGCTCTCTGTCGCCCTCCTGTGGATCACTGGAGAGTTACAGAAGCAAATCTCCGAAGTAAAGCGTTCCCAAGTTTCTCTATAACCTTGTAGCCTGAAAGGTGTCCTCATCACACAGAACATAATGGTGAGCGTGTTCTTCAAAGCTCAGGTGTCAGCGGGCACTGAGATATTCTCCACTTCTGCCCAAGTCAAAGCAGTTTTTCACCTTACTCCATGTTTAAAATATGAATTACTGGTATTTTTTCCCTCCTTAACATTCTAGGTGATGCTCAAGCTTTTAAATTATTTAACATAGAAGTAATAGTCACCTGATGGTCAGCTCAGGATGAATCAGGGTTGGCAAAACTAAGGATTAGACAGAGTAACCACAGGATGGACATTCTAAGTATCTCTCTCTAAGTCCTTCAGCCCATACCGCTGCCTCCTGGACCCTGGAAATTCTCCCCAGAGCTGGGATGTGCCTGAGCCATTTTTGTATCATGAACAGACTATATATTGGACAAACAAGTGGATGCATAAATGGTTATCAGGTAAATATTCCACCCAAGAGCTGTAGCGTGGCTGCCTTCAAATCTGTGCTTGTGAGGGACAGACAGGAAGGCTTAGAGAGAAGGTATTATTTCATACACTTTCTTTCTATCCATCAGATTAATTTGTGGAGGCACTAATGTGATAGCACCTAAGGAGGGGCTTTGCAAAAAAAACACAAACAACAACCCATATTGAAATAATGGACTGTGTTAAGCAATAAACTGAAGAGAATAAGGTTAACCTTCATAAAGAAATGGACACACTCCAGGCTGTACACTTCTAGGTAAGAAAATCAGTATTAGAAAGATGAAAATAAAATCAAAGACAGAAAGCTATTAAATATTCACAAGAATGCAAATGAAAGTTCTCTTTTTTCTATTAGAAAACATGGAAGAAAGAGTTTGTTCTTTATAAAGTGCTCGACTGTTCATTAGGGGATGATAAATAAAAGAAATCACACCTAATTTAAAAAGAGAGCCAGACTTAATAGACTATACATTCCCTTCCCCGATCCTGACACCTCACAAAAGCCAGAGACATCTCCAGGATGGGAGTGTGTTCAGGGAGTTTAATGGAAATAGTTATAGCAGTCTTTTTTCCAGTATGTCTCCTGGTGGGAAGGAATCTCATGATATACTCAAGAGAATATCTTTGGGCCCAGAGGATGAGCCAAGATGCGCGAAATTACAAAGCTGGCAGTTTATCCCATGTCTCTGCAAATGATTCTGCTTGAAGAGAAAATAATGCTTACTTAAAACAAATCTTCAAAGATGCACTGTCTCCATGTAAGTTAGTGTGACCAAAGAATCAATATGCTTAATTACACATTTAATTAAAAATAAAAAAACTTCACCTATATTGAGAATCACCTGGCTCTTTGCAGAGAGGCCTAGTGGGTTTAAAGTACATTTCTATACCTTTATTGTTTTAGTCTTAGTTGCCTATAATTCAGTTCTGTCACTTTTTAAAAAAGCCTGAGATTAGCAATACTAATTTCCCAAGGTTTGGCATGGAGAGATAAAAGACAGTGATTGGTGCTTATAGTCTGAGACACTAGTTCTGCTAATACCAGTGTCACTGAGCACTTTATCTTCTCAGATTTTCCTGTTTATATGTTAAATTGTGTTATTGTTGTTGTTTAGTTGCTAAGTCGTGTCAGACTCTTTGGTGAACCCAGGGACTGCAGCTCGCCAGGCTTCTCTGTCCTTGGAGGTATTAAAAATGTCTGAACAATCATTACATTAATCACTATAGCTGCTTGGGCTAAAAGTTTCTAGTAATCTTCAGACTCTCTAAAAGCAATTTGATCTTTAAAATTTCCACTTGCCTAGAACTATCCTTTTTCTCTATTTCAGGTTCTATCATTTACTAACTGTGTGATTTTGGGCATATTACTTAACTTTTCTGTATCTCAGTTTCTCTGGCTGCAAATGGGGATACTGTTAGCACTTATCTCAAAAGACTGCTGTGATAAATAAATGAGTCACTTCATGTAAAATACTTAGAACTGTGCTTGTGACATCACAAATGCTATGATTATTATTATTAATAATACTTTGACTATTGATGACAATGTCCCACAATCTCTGACCATCACCAGGCTTAAAGGACAGTAGGATCTGCCTGAGGGCTAAGAGTGGAATTGTGATAGTGTTTTTCCCAACTCGTGTTGAAATGAATAGTACAGAATTCTTTAACAGAACTACTTTATGTATATTAGTATTAGATGCATTAGCAGCAAGAGTGAGAAGGATTGCTATCTCCAAGAAGACTGCAAAAAATGCTGATTTTAAAAGACTCTAGTAATTTTTTTTATTTTAATAAAGTCCAAAGTCACACTACTACTAATAAATTTAGCCTATTTGAAGTATTTTCTGATATTTTCTATTATCATTATTTCATTGAGAGCTCCCTGCACCCCTAAAAATACATTGTTATTTCTAAAACAAAAGTGCCAGAAAACTCACCAGGAATCGGGACTGTAGTTTCATAAAATAAGAGAAATGGCTGGAAGCTCTGGAGTAAAAGCAGCAGGCTGGGCTTCCAGGCTGCTGGTAACTGGGACTCAGGATAAAACACAACCTCATCGAGCCTCCAGTCTCCATCTGGAGCATGAGTGGTTTAAACCAGGAATCTTATCCCTCTTCCCAGAGATAAGCAGTTACGACCTCTCCAATGAGCTTAGCTGAACACTCTTTGCCTGTGTGGAATCTTCACATTTAAAAGGCATGCGAAAAGGACAGGACTGACCACCTTTTACAGGAACAAAGTCATCCCCATCCTTCTTCAGAGGCCCCTGCAAGGAAGCCACGGCACGGAATACAAGCACGCGGGGTGAGGGGCCAGGGTGAGCACAGCGGGAAGAGAAGGGAGAGGAAGTCCTTTACAGGAGATGGTTATCCATGCGGGGCGACTCTCACTACACAGGAGCAAGAAGAGAGATAGGAGGGAAACGTGGGGGTCCCACTGCACTGGCCGCTTGGTGACATGGCCAGATGGTGACAGCGTCCTTCTCCTCTGACTCAGACCAGGTCATAACCCTCCTGGAGGCCTAATCAGATGTCTGAGACACCCGAACACTGACTGCAGGCCGGACCGCCTGACTTCCTTAGTGCCAGGCCCCTCCTCACTGCGCTGACCCGGCAGGAAGGCCAGGGTCCTGCTCCCAGGGAAGCTCTCCTTTCTGCCTACAATGAAAGGGGCAAAGAGCAATGCTCCTGCCTTTCTTCCCTGATATCAAGGCTCAAGGAGAAAATGCTCACTTCGAGGGCCTAGTACAGCTCCTTCTCTATCACTTTAACCCTGAACTCTGAGAAGTCAAATGGCGCAGTAGAAAAAGCACAGGTCACAAACTTGGGGAACAAAGAGGACAAGACTGACCACCTTTTACAGGAACAAAGTCATCCCCATCCTTCTTCAGAGGCCCCAGCCTTGGGCAAGGACCATAACCCACCTAAGCCTCAGACTCTCACCCATAATATGAGGACTCACAGCATCTGTCCAGCAGGGTTGTGGCTAAGAAAATAAAGGTTATTAGGGGATTATATGAAATCATATGTGTGAAACTTTTGAAAACTGTAAAGCACTAAAGAATTTAAAGAATCCTGAATTCAGTAAAATCAAGTTTTTATATATATCTTAAATTTATATATATTTTAAATACACATACACACAAATATGTTGCTGAGACTACAACATACATATGCCTTGTATGCCTTGTACGTCGTAGATTCAGTCAATTCCTTGGAAATGATCCTCAGCTGAATGCTTATAATGGAGAGTTCATGGCTGTCTCTGCCACAATGGTGCCCTCTTTGGTCATAAGTTGGAACATACACTGGGAATAGTGCATTTCATCAGATAACTCATTAAAGTAGAGAATAGGTAGATACAAAAGAACATTTTAGAGTTTTTTTTTTGTTTTGGTGGGGGATAAGGGGGAAAAGGAAAAGGAAAATGGAAATATTTTATTTCCTCCCAAACCCTAACCTATTTTAAATCACTCTGAACCTGGTCGTTCAATACAAGTACTCTGAAGTGCCTAAATATTTTCATTTAAAAACTGGAATTCTAGTGCAGAGAAATTCGAGCCCTACCAAGTATCCTGTGATCAGCGGCTGCATGGCCATCTTTATAACAGCTGGGTTCTGACTGAGAAAGTGTATTTTATCAGGTCTTTTGTTTCCTCCACTGGCTCTCAAATAGCCACGTCATTTTCCCGTCCGCTACCTGGCATGTGGCACCCCTTCTCCTAGCTGGCTCTCATTCTGAGCCACGCAAGGGCGTGCAAGGAGGCTGGTGAGACGAAGTCAGCCTGGACTGATCCAGCTCCCTGCAGCATTATAAAATTAGCTCTCATCGCCAAAGTTCTGAAGCAGAGAAGTCAGCCTATATTTCCCCTCAAGTCTGTACTTCTCAGGCAAGGTCAATGCAGGGTGGCTCCTGTTGGAACAAGGTCAACGAACTAGGAAACTGTAGCGTGGGGGCTGGTCAGTCCTGGGGGCCAGACGGGTCACACAGAAGGGCACTGCAGAGCAGGGGTAAGAAGAAGACAGGACCAGTGCGGTAACCAAGGGATTCCAGCTTCTGGGCCGGAAGAGGCGGTGATGGGGGGAGAAGCATAAGGGCTCACCTAAAAGGGAGCAGGAATGCTTGGGCAGGGCAGCGTGGCTGCACCTTTGTGGGAAAAAAAAGGCCAGAAATCTCCATGGACTGCCAGTTTTTTTTAAAGTTGGCAATGAACACAAATATTTCTGAACTGCAATGCGTGGCCACACGACGCTGGGCAAACAGCACAGGTACGGATGGTCAGTTTGTCCTTTGTGGTGGAGCTAGGAGCACCTGTCCAGTATCAGTGAAGGCAGAGGAGGTAGGGAGGGGACAGGGTGGGTGAAGCCCGCCGGACGCAGCAGCCCCTCCCAACCTTCCTGGGAGGCGTGGCATGAAGGACAAACAGAAAGCTCGCGGAGAGCTTCACAGTGTCCCTGAGGTTTCCAAGGATCTTCCAGAACTGAGCCAGTCCCTTTCTGGGAGCCTGTTCTAGGGAGAAGGGAGGAAGCAGAGCCTCTGGGCACCTGTGGATCATGTGCTGTGTGGTACCCAATGGAAAGCTGTTGCTGGGGAGAGAGTGATGTCTCACACCACGGCGACCCTCTGGAGAGAGGAGGAGGGATGCTCTGCCTCCTTGTTACCAATAGCAACCCTCACTCTCTCCCCATGCAGCCCTTGGCAACTAACTCTGAGGCTGTCATCTATTCCGGCTGTTTCTTTCCCCTCTCTCTGTGCAGTATGCTTTTCTCTTGTTCTGCCAGGGTCACTATGTCATTCCTGGATAATGGTATTAAATAAGACTGCTTTTGTGTAGTGGAGGGGGAAACTGTGGGTGGGTGTGTGAGAAATGTGAGGACCTGATCATGAAGCGATATGAGAAAAGGCAGAAGGGTCTTGTCCCTTCATGCTCAAAACTGCCTAGAAGGTATCTAGAAAAGGATAGGTGGTCTTAAGTGGTCCAGGAATTGGCCCCATGGCAAAGGGAATCAGAATTGAGAACATATCAAGGAAGATACACCATTATCCACAGGGGAAGGGAAGAAGCAATGAATTCTTGCTCCAGAATAAGATACAAAGACTCTGGTGTACGTGCACAAAAAAGCCAAAAGTTAAAATCCTGGTCTAATCTGTAGAACTCTGTTTACAAACTCCAGTCAATCAGACACTACCAATATAATTTTTACTATATCCTTCATCATCCATGCAAGTATTCACTTAGTATTTTTCTTTAAGTCACTTTTTCTGTGAATCAGTTTATTAAATGGAAAGGTTAGATCACTGCCACAAGAAGCAGCCAGTACCACCTGTCATAAAGAGCAAGCAATAGCAAAAACAAAAACTATAAATGTTCATGCACAGAGCATGAAATCACCTCACATAGTACCAAGTGTGTATATACATTTAGGGAATTAATGCCTTAAGGAACAGAAGAAAAGTCAGCCAATCTAATGGGCTAACTCTAAACTATCACCCGTTCTGAGGAGATGTTCTGCACTGCTGGGAAAGGTATTACTCTGAGTGATAAATCAAAGTGTTTCCATGTTACTTCTTGGGTTCTGCTACCCACTTTAGCTAATATCTCCTCATAATGAATAAGGACTTACTGTGCAAATAGCAGGTCCTTAATATGTACTTTAAGATGAATAACAGCATACAGAAGATCACTCAACAAGTCTCAGTACATATTCATCTAATCCTGTTAGCAGGACCTAAAGATCTGAGCTCATTCCAAACAGAAATGCAGAAACTCTTGACATTAGATCTGCAGAACATTGAAGACCAAACTCACCACTTCTTGGACTTCAGCCGAGGCGCTGGGTTCCGGGGGATGAGGAAGAGAGCCCTCATGGGGTGCATGTCACAGAGGGCTGCAAGAGACCAAAACAAGAGCCAGCTCAGGTCAGGGGGCCAAACCCGGGCTACGCCCATCCCTTCTGTGCCGATAATGCTGCCAAACGGCTTCCTGAGTCCAGGCATGGCCCGTGAGCAGAGTCAGGAGATCATAGTTTCCCTTTGGTGAGCGTTCAATGAGACGGATTACAGGGGTCTCATGAAGTCTAACACCTTTCAACTAGAGATTGTTAACGTGTCTACTTGCCCGTCATTTTTAAGGAAAACAAGTCAAAGGCTCAACAACCTTTGCTTTGCTAAAAATAACCATCTAAGACTCCAAGTAAACAATACCCAGGTAACAACTACAATGGAGACAGTAAGTTATTTTTAATTAGCAAAATCCCAAATAATCCATGGTATATCTCTTATACACTGAAGGCTTCCCCAAATGCAGTGCTTATTATCTATTAATTATCTATTAATATTAATACATGGGTTTTTGGAGTATAAAGCATTAGACCAAAATACCGTTCTCTCTGTATTGATAAATACCTTGAACGGCTTTCAGGCTTTTTATGATGGGTTTTGTTTGTTTGGTTTTGTTCAATGGCCCCAGGAAGACCAGAGGATTAAGGCAAAGAAGTCTGGTAGAAGACTCATAAAAATATCTCACATTGTAAAGATGACATTATCATTTATAGTGAAAACACTCACATCCTATTCAATCAGAATATTTCACTAGTTTACTCTTCAAACATCTGGGAATATCTTTTCTGCCTGGAATAAGAACACATTCTCCCCCAAAGCTAAAGGATTCTGCTGGGAGAAAGCTTATTTTTAGCTCCCTCCGACTTTTGTTTAGGGGCTTCTCAGGTGGCTCAGTGGCAAAGAATCCACCTGCTAAGGAAAGAGATGCAGGAAACACGAGTTTGATCCCTGGGTTGGGAAGATCCCTGGATGAGGAAATGGCAACCCACTCCAGTACTCTTGCCTGGGGCATCCCATGGACAGAGGAGCTTGGCAGGCTACAGTCCGTGGGCTCCCAAAGAGTCGGACATGAGCACACAGGCAGTAACTGCTCATTAAGCATGATGATATAGTTTCAACACTGCCAAGATTATCTTTCTGATTCATAAAAGCGTACCAGCATTGTGGGTAAGGGACGTGTGGTCAGCAAATGCTCCAGTCGTGCTACAGGTGAATTCTACCAATTCTGGAGTGAGAAGTAAGAAAACCACGATAACTTGCGGGTAAAAAGTCATATGAGCACAATGACCCGTCATACTAACGTGGGGCCTGTTTTGGTCCAGGTCTTCCGAAAAGCAAGACATTAAGGTGATATTAAACATGAGAAAATATCACTGGAGGAAATTCCTGCCTGAAAGGAAATAGTGAAGGAGCCAGGGAAGGCTGGGAGAGTTGTCAGATTGCTATGAAGTCTGATGGCAGTGAAGGTGAGAGGGAGAAAAAGTAGGTGGAAGTGTTGCTAGGCTGTCCTGCAGTCTAAGGAAATCAAGGAGGGAAACTGAGGCATGAAAGCTGCCCTCCAAGGAGCTCCTGTCTTCCGGGAAAGGGGCTGCCTTATGTCCCTGCCACGCTCGGTCACGGGAGGGGAGTGGCCCTTGGGAGGAGCCATCGTGGCAGCCATCCCTGGTCAGTTACACTTCTTGCATGGAGTCTCAGAGGCACATGCTCATGACGACCATGTAGCTGGGGAAGGTCTCGGTGGGCCCAATGCTCCAGATTCCCAGGAACTGGAGAGGCTCTTCGGGCAGCCAGAGCCCTGCCCACTCTGTCTCAAATAAGCAGGGAAATCTAACAACCTAACCATTAGTATTTTAATAGGAATGACAGCAACCGAGTGCAAATGTTCCCATAACCCATGCCTGAAAATCAGCTTTGAATTTCTGAAATGTTGGCGTTTACACTCCTTGTGGTTTGGTCTCAGCTTGACTACAGGTGAAGAGCAGTTGAAGAACAGACCATACACTGAGTATATAAGACAGACAAGACTTCTCAGAGTCTGCTCTCCTCTCCTTTCTGGTCTCCCCTCATAAATACAAATCCGCATGCCACTCTGAAATGAATGGATTCCTGGTTGATCTGGATGACTCTGCTTTCTCGGTATGCCAGCTTGAGTCCACGCAGGGCTCGGTGTAGCATAAGGTAAAGCTACTGGCAAGGAAGCATCCGTACCTGCAGAGCAGGCCAGCAACAGATTTCACCCAGAGGAAGGTACTTACGGGGAGCACCTTCTGCCATCTCGATAGCGGTGATTCCCAGAGACCACAAGTCACTCTGAAAAACAAGGAAGGCGCAGAAGCATGGGTAAATGCAGTCAATAAAGGATCACTGGGCTACATCAGGTAAGTGCTTCAGAACTGCCTATGGGAAAGCTGTCCAGCCATCTCTTTTCAAACCGACTGCGCTTCAAGCAAAAACAGCGTTGTTTGCTCCTCGTTGATACCACCTTTCGTGGTGCCTGACACATGGTGAGTTTTCCATACGTGAACGAAAAACAAATAGGAGGTTTCAAACATCAATTCATCACTAAAATTTCCCTACTGATCGAACCACAAGAAACTGCTGCTGTTTGACTATTTTTAATACCTTCACTGAAATAAAACTGTCAAGTAATTAATTGCACATACTCAAAGTGTACCAACTGAAAGGGTTTGGTGTTCAAGGACACCTGTGAAACCATCAGCACAGTCAAAGCAGCAAACACATTCATCTCCCCAAAAGGTCTCATTGTCCCTTTGTAATCTCCATTTCCTGCCCTTCTGTCTCCTACCCCGGTTCCTGTTCCAAGGCACCCACTGATATGCTTTTTGTTACTGTGGATTAGTTGCTATCTTCTAAAGTTATTGTATAATACGAAATCTCCTGGTTTCTTTCACTTAACATGATGTACTTAAGGCCCATGCACATTGCCTTGTGTATTAGGACTTCAGTCCTTCTTACTGCTGAGTAGTGCTCCATTGTACTGACACAGATGCTACAATATGTTTATTCATTCACTTGATGGACATTTGAGTTGTTTCCAGTCAAGGCCATGAAAAATAAAGCTGCTACAAATACTCATGTGCAAGCCTTTGTATGGATGTATGCTCTTGTTTCTTTTGAGTAAAGACCTAAGAGTGGAATGACTGGACCATATAGTAGATGCTAGATCATACAGTATTTATAGTCATTTGTTTTTAACCTACAAAAAAGCCCAGCAATTCATATCATTTAACCAAACAAGATGAGGATGGGGAAGCTTTTGTTAAGTGTTGTCTACTGCTGTATCTCTGGAGAAGGAAATGGCAACCCACTCCAGTACTCTTGCCTGGAAAATCCCATGGATGGAGGAGCCTGGTGGGCTACAGTCCATGGGGTCGCAAAGAGTCGGACACGACTGAGTGACTTCACTTCACTTCACTGCTGTATCTCAGTGCTTAGGATAGAGCTGGCCACTGTAGTGGGTGCTCGATATATTTGTTAAATGAATGAACAATATTACCATATATTTTTATCCAGTAAGTAGACACATATGCAAAGTAGAAATCCTATACCCTTATTGTCTTTCTTATTCTCAGATTAACTTTCATGCTCTTATCAGAATTTTCTGGGCTAACGCCTCCACCTCGACCTATGCAATCTTGAGCAATATGCTTCTCCCCCACTCTGTGCCCATCGCTCAACTGCTTCTAAATAGCACATAGAAGGGAAGCACATCAAGAGAAGGGAAAACCAAGTCAGGAAATGCCAAAAAGACTGCTAAGAAAACACACGTACACTCGGTTCAATGGTTCACAATCCTGATGAAGACTCTCACACTCCCCTTCTTTTTAAATATATGCTGCATTTTGTACATCATTCCAAATTCTCACCTGTAATCTCACAAGATTTCAGAGATCAAAGTTAAGTTCCCTTGCTATTCCCACCAAGCAAATGTCAAAGTCACATGTCAAGGAGATACAACTGGAAGAGAACTGTGAACTCCTCCCCGAGCCATTCCCTACAACTAAACTTCTCAATATCCTCTGGGCGACACCCAGGCCTGTTCAGTATTTGTACTGAGGCCCATACAACCTGGACAGGGCTTTCAAGGGGATCTAGACTCTTGCCTAAAATGTGATCTACCTTAGAGCAGGTGGCTGGGGGCACATCCTAACCCCACACTAGGACCAAGCAGGGATTCTTTAATTCACGAGCCCATCAACCCGTCCACATAAATGTTACAAGTTCTTAGTCCATTTGGGGATAACAATGCACCTGCACAAAACCACAGATTCCAAGAACATCACTGCATAGAACATCACTTTATCATCCTTTCTTTGTTCCATTTCAAGGTATATTCAAATGTATCACTGAATACACACACACACACAAGAGTGGCACAGCCTGGCAAGTGGCTAAATCTTCCCACAGTCTGCTGGTCTTGCTCACTGAGGTTCTTTTTGGAGCTAATGGGGAAAGCGCAGCCCACCCATCACAGGCTGGCTCAAGAGCAGCAACTGTAAAGATGAACACACGGCTCTCTTGTACCGGAACATGATGGTTCACTGACACAGACAATCACTGGGGAACATGACGAAAACCCTGACTCACTGCATGGGAGGCATTCAACAGAAAACAGAAAAAACAGTCTGGAGATGGTGGATGGATTGGGCTGTTCTGATAAGACTCCAGGCCCCGGCGGTTCTCCTACCACCTATCCAGCATCTTGGGAAAGCGAGTGTTTGTGCAGTGTGAACCGAGATGCAAATACGAAGGCGGTGGCTGGGCTCTCTGTCCCCACCTGCCATATAAAGTCAAATTAACTGGCTTTCAAGTCTAGGAAGCTTGAACTGGTTTGAAAGCCAACACAGGTGAAGGGAAGTGATGGAACTGGGATGAGAAAAGTTCCAGGTTAGTCTTCAGACAGGCAAAGAAGATGCTCAGAAAACTCATGCAAACTCCTACCTTAGGGTTTTTGCTCCAGATATTCCCTCTGCCTGTAGCACTGAACCTAATCAATTGTGTGTGGACTGACTCTCTCCCCTCCATGAAAGTCTTTGCTCAAAGGCTCTGCTCTTAGTGAGGACCACCCAATCTCTCTCCCAGGATGGCCAGACTCCTCCCCCTCTCCCCCTTCTGTTCCCCAGACAACTGATCACCTTCTGACAACTGTGTAATTGATTCATCACTAATTTATTATGTTTTTTGTTCACTGTTTGTGTCCCCTGCCCGCAACACACACACTTGGATCATGAAGTCCACAAGGGCAGGGAATCTTTGCTTTGTTGACTGGTACATAGCATTAGAACAGTGCCTGGCACATAGTAGGCACTTCATAAATACTCGTTGAGTGAATAGACACAGAAGAGAAAGGAGCAAAACCTAAGGGTCTTAAGGCTAGATCCTCTGTAGAAGGATGGTTTTATTTGTTTGTTTTTGTTCACACAATATGTGGGATCTTAGTTCCTCAACCAGGGATCGAACCTCTGCCCTCTGCAGTGGGAATGCAGAGTCTCAACCACTGAATCTCCAGCAAAGTCCCTTAGACCTTTTGTAGATCATTTAGTCCAACTTTTCATTTCACAGAGGAGATAAAATGACTTAAGACCACAGAGCAACTAAGCACCGGCTTTTAATAAGAGCTGGGTCTCCTGCCTCCCAGGCTAGTTCTTTTTTTAACACTGTCATCACAATGTAAGAACCTAATAACTCACTTTAAAAAACTTATTAGGGACCCATAAAATAATTGCTTCAGATTCCTCCTTTGTCTACAGGTAACTTAAAGTGCTAGTGACTCAGATGAAAGTGTTGAGATTCAGTGAGGCACATCCCAAACCAGTGCTCAACTTCCTAGAGGCAGTGTGAATAAGTCAAACAGACCCAGATTCAAGTTCAGGTTCCTAATTTAACTGCATCCAGAAGACCGCACAGAGATCAGCTTTCCACTACACAACAGACAACTCTGACATGTATGTATGCAGGTATGCTGCTAACACAAAACCTGGTACACGGTGGGCTCAAGAATAATTCATCATTTCCTTGTCTTCTACTGTGAAGTCAGACTGCCTTTGTCTGCCCAGTTTAGCCTTCTATGGCTTCCCTCGAATTGGGTGTGGCCAGTACTGTTTGCTGGCTAACCCAACAAGCATTTCAACCTGCACTGCCCTTGCTGCCTCCATTTCAGAGCATAGGAAAGCTAAACTTGGTATCCAGATTTCCCTCAGCTAAGGATGGCAGTCAAGGAAGTGACCTAGTTCTGGCTGCTGAGACCCAGGCAAACATCTTCTGGGAAAACTTTTGCTTCTCCTGAAATAAATGACAAATACAGCTGGTGTCTTGACAACTCTTTCCCACTTCTTAGTGCCTTGAATACAAACATGCCATCTGGAGTTACAGCATCCATCTTGCAACCATGAGGCAATAAGTCAACAAATTAAGGATGACAGGGCAGGAAGGTGGGAGCCCATGTTTGAAGACATCAATCAATACTCACCTGCCTTCCTTCAGATTTCTGGTGACACAAGAAACGTAAGTACAGCTAAAAACATTTCTCAGTGATCATATGTACAGAGCAATCATTTGAGGAAGCATATTTCCATAGTAAGGAAGAACAGAGGTCCCAGTTGTCAGGTGATCCTCCCTTTATTCCACCAGAAGCAGGAAGGTGGAAAGAGCGATGTTAGTGAAAAGAGTGACGTTTCCTTCATTCAGTACACAGCATCTCAGATTCTCTCTCTGGCCGCTTTCCCCAACACCCACCCCCCCGCCCAAACAACCCCTTCAAACAAAAGATCACAGCATCCCAACTCTGGTGCATCTTTTGTCATGTGACCAGGCCAGAGATTATTTCTTCTCTAAGCCTTCATTTGATATCATTATTAGGATCATTTTCTTTTTTTTTTTTCCTTTCTGGGATTCTCTTGTATTCCGAAAGGAACATTTATATTCCTGGCCATATATACCCAGAGCCGCTTGTAAGCTATGCTTAACTGCCCATGCTAGAAAGCAATAAACGTCCTTGGCGGGCCTTGTTTAAGCCTTTGGATATATTAGCAAGTCCCAGAGACACTTCAGAACTTAAATACGGGAGAAAATGTTCCAATTACAACTGGCAAGACAGATCACAGGAGACGAGAGAGGGAAGAGGGAGAAACAAGATGAGGAGAGAGTTGGGAGAGATAAGTTTCCTCCGTGGCCGTGGTGTGACTCATCCTGGCAGGGGTTGGGTCATTCATTATTCTAGAGGTGCAGTGCAGGCTGGCCGGCAGTGTGATTAATAGCTCAGTGCTGTGTGCATCACTAACAGAACAGAGACAAATTCTAGTGCCTCCGAGAAGGCAGAGGCAGGCACACAACTTCTGGCTGGTGGGGGGCCAGCTGGCACAAAGGAACTTGAACATTACAAGCGGCCATTCCTCTTGGGGCTGGGCTGCTCAACAAATGAAAGGGCTTTCAGAAGGCCGAACCAGCCACACAAGAAGAGAGAGGTGCAGGGGGCGGGGGGCGGGGGGGCGGCTGGAAGCCGGAAGGGGTCAGGCTGGGCCCAGCCCACCTCCAGCAGGTAGTCGGAGGAGTCATGCAACAGCAGCACCAGGGAGCCGATGCGCATCAGATTCAAGCTATAGGAGAAGCTGATCAGGATGATGGTCGCGAAGTGATGAATCAGCTGCTCCCTGAAGTCCTGTGTGAGAGAGACAGTCACAGCCGGGATGACGCTGGGTGGCTGGAGCAGGCCCTCCCAGGGGGGTTGTTTGGAGGATGGATACCATGCCACCTCCCTGAGGCACCAAGGTTCTTGGGCTGTGGGATAAGGCCACCCCTCCCCACCTGGAACTGTGTCATAATCATCCCAGGGCATCACTTCCCTATCCAGACTCTTGGCCTGACCTCACCTTGCGTTTGGTGTCAAAGGGCAGTGTCATCAGCAGAGAGACGTAGAAACTCAGCTCCAAGAGGTACCAGTGGTACAGGCCTGGCTTCATGGGCTGTGGCAGGGGTGCAAGGTTAGCTGTGGGGAGTGGAGGCTCCCACAGGGCATGGGGTATGGGGCAGGGCCCTCTCCATTTGCTCAAACCCACCACACTTGACTCCCAATGAGTGAGGAAGGCATGAGCTCCCTGTCTGTAGAGGTAACCAAGGGCAGCGGTTTTGTGGTTTCCTGCTCTGAGTGTCCTGACTCCTGGCCCCTCTCCATTCCACAAGGGAGCCAAAAAATAAAGTGGGACTCAGAGGAGAATGATGGTGGGATGTCCAGCTTTGGCTCTCCTGCCTGTGACCACAGGAACCCTGACCATGCTGATCTTCCCACCAGCCTCCAAACACCCCCCTGGCACTCACCTGATGTGGGTAATTTTCCCAGCATGTGACCGGTGTCCACAGCCATGACTCCTGCAGGGACGGGGGGAGTCTGAGGATGTCCAAAGGTTAGCACCCAAAACTCCCACCCCAGGCCTGGGTCCTCCTCCCAGGCTCCTGGGCTCTCAGCGTGCTGCTCGCACTCAGGCTGGCTGTTTTGAGTCAACTACAGCTCTGCCCTCACTGTCGGGTGTGCGCAGGAGTGTGTGTGTGCTAAGTCACTTCAGTTGTGTCTAACCCTTTGTGACCCTAAGGACTGTAGCCCGCCAGGCTCCTCTGTCCATGGGATTCTCCAGGCAAGAATACTGGAGTGGGTTGCCATGCCCTCCTCCAGGGGATCTTCCCGACCCAGGGATTGGACCCGCATCTCTTGTGTCTCCTGCATTGGCAAGTGGGTTCTTTACCATTGGCACCACCTGGAAGGCCCTCTCACTGTACACCAGCAGCTTGTTATTCAGAATCCCCAGTCTCTACACACAGTAGGTCCTCAACAGGCCACCCATCAAGTGAACATTCACCATAACCTCGCCATGTTCCTTCCGCCCTCCCTGTGCCTTTGCATGTTTCCCCATCTGCCCGAGCCCCACACACCCCTCCCCAATCCAATCTGGGCCCAGCACATAGTAGGCGCTTGTGGGATACACGGCAGGTAAGCCATCAGGTACACTCACGTGATAAAGAACCATGATTCCACTGATGAAGGAGCACAGATAGAAGGCAAACCTCCAGCTGCAGGTGGGGAGGGAGCCCATGAAGCAGCTGCCAAAGGAGCAGATCCCCTCTCACTGCACCCCCAGACACCCCCTCACCAGCCCCACCCTGGGCTTACCTGGCCTCACAGAACTTCTTGGTCAGGCAGGGCCGGTCCTGGTTCCGGCGTCTCCGGAACCAGCACTGAGTCTGCCGCAGCGTGAGGCCACACTGGGTGGCCAGGAGGTTCATCTGGGACTGGAGAGCGGGTGATGGGGGCCAGGGTCACAGAGGTGGCCTCCCGCCACTGTCCTAGGACAGCCAGAACCCAGCTCTGCATACCCCTCTCCACGCTGTGGTCCTAAACCTCACCTGTGGGGTGGTCTACCTATGTTGATAGGGGGATAGGGGGTTTCACAGGATGCTGTGTGCGTACTCAGTTGCTTCAGTCATGTCCAGCTCTTTTGGGATTCTCCAGGCAGGAATACTGGAGTGGGTTGCCATTTCCTCCCCCAGGGAATCTTCCCAAACCCAGGGATTGAACCCAAGTCTCCTGCATTGGCAGGTGGATTTGTTACTGCTGGGCCATGGGGAAGTCCATAGGGTGGAGCCCCCCAAAACAGGCCTTATAAAAACCCAGCCCTGGGACGTCCCTAGTGGTCTAACAGTTAAAAATCCGTCTGCCAACACAGGGAACACAGGTTCAGTCCCTGGTCCAGGAAGATTCCACGTGCCTCAGGGCCACCAGACCCATGTGCCAAAAGCCCGAGTGCCCTAAAGCCCGTACTCTGCCACGAGAGAAGCCAAAACAGTGAGATGCCTGCACACTGCAACTAAAGGGCAGCCCTCCCTCCACTCACCACAAACAGAGAAAGCCTGTGCATAGCAACAAAAGAACCAGCGCAGCCACGAATAAGAATAAAAACCAAAACCCAGTCCTGCTCACAGGCTGATGGGACTTGGGATTCAAGGGGTTGGGGGTGGGGGTTTTCTTGCACCCCTTCCAGAACTACCCCCAGGGCACCCAAGCAGGCTGACGGGGATGGAGAGGGTCAGGGATCTCACCTCTGTGGGTTTCCGCCCTTTCATTAGGAAGTACTTCTCCAGCGTGGCATTGGGCTTCGCTGGCCTCCTGGTCTGGTTCCGCACGCCCAGCCACCGGCTCAGGGGCAGGCCAACGAATCTGGGTGCGGAAGGAGACAAAGCTTGTCAGTCCAGGTGGGGAAATGGGGGTCACTGGGGCCAGGCCGCAGTTTGGGAGCCTGCAGTGGGTAGCCCGGCTGTTGCAATGGGCACAACCTAAGAAAGACAGCTGGGGGCTTCCTTGGTGGTCCAGTGGTTAGGACTCCATCTTCCAACGGTGGGGCCATAGGTTCGATCTCTGGTATGGGTACTAAAGTCTTACATGCCTCAGGGTATGGCCAAAAATTAAAAAAAAAAAAAAGGCAGTTGGATTGGTCTTCAGGATGTGAGGTGATCAACTTTGGTGGTACCCAGGCACCTTTGGATGTGAGAGTTGGACTATAAAGAAGGCTGAGCGTCGAAGAATTGATGCTTTGGAATCGTGGTGCTTGAGAAGATTCTTGAGAGTCCCGTGGACTGCAAGGAGATCAAACCAGTCAATCCTAAAGGAATTCAATCCTGAATATTCATTGAAAGGACTGATGCTGAAACTCCAATAGTTTGGCCACCTCATGTGAAGAGCTGAATCAATAGAAAAGACCCTGATGCTGGGAAAGACTGAAGGCAGAAGGAGAAGGGGGATGCAGAGGATGAGATGGATGGATGGCATCATCGACTCAATGGACATGAGTCTGAGCAAATTCCGGGACATAGTGAAGGACAGGGAAGCCTGGTGTGCTGCAGTCCATGGGGTGGCAGAGTTGGATATAGCTTAGGGACTGAAGAGCAGGCACCTTCACTCCATCCCAAAGCAGAGATGAGCAGCCCCTCACTGCCTGAGTTCTGATATGCACCCCCCCTCCCCCCCGCCTGGCTGGGGGTCCCCCAAAGGCAGGAGCAGGTCTGCTCCTTCTCAGGCCTCCTCCCTCCCAGCATCACCTCCTCCCTTGTGGACATTTGGAGGAGCTGGGACCCTGGTGAGGCAATCATCACAGTGCCCACAGGGGTCCTCCAAGACCAGGGTCAGGACCAAAGGGCATGTCTACCATATCAATACCACCTTTCATTGGGGGAAACTGAGGTTCAGGGCAGCTCAGCAAGGGACTCATTCCAGACTCACTCGTGCTGGGAGGCAGGGAGGGAGGAGGCAGGAATGGGACATGACTGCCATGGTTTTTTTTTTTTGGCTGTGCCTCATGCTGGATCCTAGTTCCCCAACAAGGGATGGAACCCCGGCCCTCTGCAGCTGAACCGTGGACTCCTAAGCACTGGACCACTAGAGAGGTCCCACGACTGCCATTTATTGAAAACTTAACGATCTGCCAAGCATGTGTCTAAGTCCACCTGTGTGCTGGCTCACTTAACCCTATTATTATTGTTCCCATTGTCCTGATAGGCAAACTGAGGCTGAGAAAGGCCAGAGATCCACCCCAGGTGACATAGCATGTGAAAGGCAGGCCCAGGATCCACTTTCCCTTAATGGCGAGAACCTCTGCCTGTGTTTGACCCCAGAAAAGCTACTGCCAACCCCATTGCCCTTTAGAAAAGCAAGGGATATCTTTGGGAGGAGTTAACATGCCCATCTCAGCTGGAGCCATTGGCTAAATAGGTGAGAAAACAGACCCAGCCTTCAAGGCCTGGCTGAATTGGGCCTCCCAGAATCCCTCAGGCAAAGCCTTATCCTAGATGACCTACCTGCTGTGTGACCTCAGGCAGGTCACTTAACCTCTCTGTGCCTCCATTTCCTCTTCTGTAAAATGGAGATAATAACAGTACCACTTCACCGGGTGGCCATGAGGGCTGAGCTAAGACACGCAAATTGCTCAGAGCAGGGGTGTCTGGTAAATATAATGTCAAAGAATGGGCCCTGGGTTCCCCATGCCCTGTGTCTTGGCAGCCCTGACTCCAGGAAGCTCCTTGTGAGTGGGACAGGCAAGGTGTAGAAAGCCCAGGGGGTCGCAAAGAAGGTTGGGGACCTGGGACTGCCCTGGCAGTCCAGTGGCTGAGATTCCATGCTCCCAATGCAGGGGGCCCAGGTTCAACCCCTAGTCAGGGGACTAGATCCCACATGCCACAGCTAAAAGGTCCTGCATGCTGGAACTAAAGATACCACATCCCACAGCGAAGATCATAAATATTTTTTAGAAAAAGGTGGGGGATCTGAAATCACACGTGAGCTATGGAGGAAGGGGAGCGGGAGGGGGCCCCTAGGCATCAAGGGGGGAACTGATGGGGGCAAACCTTGTGGGGTGGGCCGTGGGGGCCGGGCAGATGTGGGAGCTGCAACCACAGCACAAGTCAGGTAGCCGAGCGTGGCAGAGGGAAGGGACCCAGGAGACGGATGGCCAGGGAAAGAGGAAGAACTGCAGTCTGGGGCAGTGAATGGATCGCGTGAGAAATAACTGAAAATCCATGGGTCTGAGAAGCCAGGAGGGCACCAAGAAGCTGGGCGTTCAGCATACACTCGGGGACCAGGGGCCCGGCTGCAGGAGGTGAGTGGAGGGGGGTCCCAAAGTGGGGCTGGAGTACCTCAGCCCTTCCTTTGGCTACAAAGGAGATCAAAGGGAAGGTGTTGGAAGGAACAAGAAGGGAAGGGTTGGGGGGGGGGCGCTGGGGAGGGAGGAGAGGCACCCACACAGGAAGGAAGGACGAGGGAGTGGGGGGTGGGAGTTCCTTCACTTACTGAATGAACTCTGCAGACCCATCCCAGGTCAGTAAAGCAAGCAAGAGCATCCCCCCGCCATGGTCCCCACTTGTTTTCCGAGATGCTGGCATTCCCAGAAACCTGCAGCCCATGTCCCAGGCCTCTGAGACCCTCAGAATATGGGTGGCAGTAGCTGGGGTGGGGGGCAGGATGGAGCCAGAAGGGCACTTTGACTCAGAGCCAGGCTCCCTCCGGGGACATGTGAGGATGCGACCCTGCAGAAGGGAGAGCGCAGGGTGGATATCACAGTCACTTACCTCTCGAAGGTGAAGCGAACGACCACCAGGGCCAGCGCCAGGGGCACAGCCATCAATGTGTCCCGGGGGTGGGGGAAGACCAGGCCATCACGGTCCTCCAGTTGAGCCCATGAGATGTTCGGGGGGAGCCAGAACCTCTCCTGCCACAGCCAGTCATTCAGGCTGGACCACATCCTGCGGACATAGGGTCCAGTAAGTGGATAGCTCGGCACACAGGACACGTTGAGTGGGAGGACCAGGCAACCTGGAGTTTGTTAGAGCCAGTGTGAAGGATAGACTTGGGCTGTGTGTCCTCAGGCAAATGACCTGACCTCTCTGAATCTCAAGTTCATTTATAAAACCAGGAAGGCAATACCCACCTCGCAGCCCAGCTGCATCAGGTGCACAAAGTGCTTAGCCTGGTGACTGCTGACCCTTAAATGCAGCTCGTGATGGTAGTTATTATGCTGTACTTTACAGACATGAGAAAGGCAGCCAGGAGGGAGGGACTGATTAGGCTGATGACCTAGAGCTCTCGAGCAGCCGGGAAGGTTTTCTGTCATTGCGGGGAGGTTCCTCTGAAACAGCCCAAAGATGAAAGATTTAAGGAATCCACAATTCCCTCCCTGGCCATCCTTCCACGCATGGACTCTCCTTGAGGTGTGACTGTCAGCTGTCTCACTCACTTTCTCCCGGCTGCAGCTGGGCAAGAGTGCCTACAGTCTGACCGAGCTTGCTGCCAGATAATGGAACAATGGTCAGGGTGGGCCAGCTTTCCACCAAGAGCTGCTGGGGAGCTGCTCTGGGGCCCAGCTGTCCCGAGGAGCCCAAATAGCTTCTCTGGTTCCCAAGATTTAAAACAAGTGCCCCAATCCCCATACTGGTCCCCACTTGCAAAGTCTGTTCCTCCATCCATCCATCCATCCATCCATCCATCAGACCACCCATCCATCTACTCATCTGTTCAGTCCACCTATTCAACTATTCATCCATCCAGCGATATAATTTGCTTGCCCACCTGTACATGTATGAGTTCATCCATCCATCCATTCACCTATCCATCCACCCATCTACTTGTCCATCATCCCATCCATCCATCCACCTGTCCACACATCCATACCCACCTGTCTATCTACCTGTCTGTTCATCCATCTACCCACCCACTGTCCATCTACTCATCTATCCATCCCTCCACCCACCTATTCATCTGTTCAGCCAGCCAGCCATGTGCCTGCCCACCTTTACATCTTTGCATCCAGCTATCTACCCATCCATTAACTCATCTATCATCTGTTCATCCACCCACCCGTTCACTCATCCATCCATCTGTCTACCTACCTATCCACCCATCCATCCATGAGATGTTCTCTGAGTGGTTTATACACACCAGAGCCTGAGGCTGGATGCTGGAGACACAGCAGGGAACAAAGCAGACACATTCCTGTCCCCATGAAGCTCACAGCCCAGCAGGGGGAAGCAGCCAGCCCACAAGGAAATAGATTCATATATAAATGAGACAACACATTGTGATGGGGCCTGGTAGAAACAGGGTGATGTGATTTATCATGGAAAGTCTCTAAGGAAACACCATCTGAGCTGAAACCTAGAGATGAGGAAGCCTTGGGTATGTGCAGAAGTGGGTAGTGGTGGTGGGAGCGGGGCTGAGAGGGACTTTCCAGAGTGGCAGGTGCAAAGGCCCTGAGGCAGGACTGAGCAACACTGAGTAAGGGAGGACCAGCAAGGATTCCTTTGTGGCTGGAGCAGCGTGAGCAAGGGGAGAGAGTGGGAGGAGGTGAGGGCAGGAAGGGGATGGGGGCAGGTCATGCAGGGTCTGTGGATTGTGAGGAGGAATCAAGATGATTTCCTCCAACATCTTACAGAAAAGTCAAATTTACAGTGAGTGTCTGTATACCCACCACTAGGCTCTACCATTCGTGTTTTGCTCTGTTGCTTTATAACACATCTGCCCATGCATCCATCCATCCCTCTATCCACCCACCAGTGCATTTCTGGGTGGACTTCAGAAAACAGCTGGGGGACCACAGCGTTGCTTCTTCCTCAACCCAGGAGAACTTTTATCACCCCAAAGTCTACGACAGCAGAGAACCAACAAAAGAATCAGCTCCTCTTAAAGTTGTTTTAATCTTAAGACAACATTCCCTGGTGGCTCAGATGTTAAAGAATCTGCCTGCAATGCAGGAGACCCAGGTTCAGACTATAGCACTAGTGGTAAAGAATCCACCTACCAATACAGAAGATGCAAGAAACTTGGGTTCCATCCCTGAGCTGGGAAGATCCCCTGGAGGAGGAAATGGCAACCCATTCCATATTTTTGCCTGGTAAATCCCATGAACAGAGGAACTGGCGGGCTTTGGGGTCCATGGGGTCACAGAAAGTTGGACATGACTGAGCAACAAACACCTTACTTCTTTCAAGATTAAATAATATGGTTTTTTTTTAAAAAGACTTATTCTCAAGATTTTATCTGCTGCTTCAGAGATTGTGATTTACCCTCCAATTTAATCCATATTCTACTTTTATTACTACAATTTCTACCATGTGATTTTATGTATGCACATACACATATGGGTGTATTTAAGATTTAGAGTTTATTTGGCTGGGACAACTAAGCTGGGAATCAGAATTTTTTTTCTCAATTTGTTCTTTAAGTACCACTTAGTAACTCACCTTTCCTATCTTGTTTCAGTAAGTGTTTTAGCTTTTAAAAGTTATTATATTTAGAAATCTATTTATGGAATTTTCTCTTCTGTTGCACTTATCTACATTTCCATCTTTACACCATTACCACGTCTTGATTTGCTGTCTTTTTATCTTACCTTTTAATGCTTTGGCATTTCTTTTCTAAATGTACTTTTATAACTATTTGTTAATTTGTAAAATCCTGTGATATTAGTATAAAATTGGTATACTATTTATAATAAAGTAATTTGCATTAAAAGCAAACAGAAAACCACAAAATAAGCAGCTTAGGGGGAGGAATAAATTAGGAGTTTGGGGTTAAAATATATATACTACTATATATAAAAGTGATAACCAACAAGGACCTACTGAATAGCACAGGGAACTCTACTCAATTTCTTGTAATAACCTGTAATGGAAAAGAATCTAACACACCAGCTGACTCCCGTAGAGAAAGACTCTGGCTGGGTTGTTGCAGCCACGGTTGCCCGACCAGGAACCCGAGCCGAAAAGTCATCGTCAGAATGTCGGGCAAAGACCGAATTGAAATCTTTCCCTTGCGAATGGCACAGACCATCATGAAGGCTCGGTTAAAAGGAGCACAGACAGGTTGAAACCTCCTGAAGAGAAAATCTGATGCCTTAACTCTTCGATTTCGACAGATCCTTAAGAAGATAATAGAGACTAAAATGTTGATGGGTGAAGTGATGAGAGAAGCTGCCTTTTCACTTGCTGAAGCCAAGTTCACAGCCGGGGACTTCAGCACCACAGTTATCCAAAATGTAAATAAGGCCCAAGTGAAGATTAGAGCAAAGAAAGATAATGTAGCAGGTGTTACATTGCCAGTATTTGAACATTATTATGAAGGAACTGACAGTTATGAACTGACTGGTTTAGCCAGAGGTGGAGAACAGTTGGTTAAACTGAAGAGGAATTATGCCAAAGCAGTAGAACTACTGGTGGAACTGGCTTCACTGCAGACTTCCTTTGTTACTTTGGATGAAGCTATTAAGATAACCAACAGGCGTGTAAATGCTATTGAACATGTCATCATTCCCCGGATTGAACGTACCCTTGCTTATATCATCACAGAGCTGGATGAGAGAGAGCGAGAGGAGTTCTACAGGTTAAAGAAAATACAGGAGAAGAAAAAGGTTCTCAAGGAAAAGTCTGAACAGGACTTGGAGCAACGGAGGGCAGCCGGAGAGGTGATGGAGCCTGCTAATCTCCTGGCTGAAGAGAAGGATGAAGATCTTCTGTTTGAATAAGCTTTCCTGCTCTGGTTCTTTCAGAAGGCCAAACATGTCACCATTTTAATTCATGGTGTGTAGGTTTGTTATGTGTGGCTATTTATTTTTTGGCTTAAGAATTTCACCGTTGTAAAATTTCCCTGGATGTCTGTTCATGGGATCTACCTTTGCAGAATCATAATTAAGCAACAATTAATCACCAGTGAAATTTGTAGAACCTGTCCCGAAACCTGTAGAATTTATGCTACAGAACTGTCACCCTGCTTTAATGATACATCTGTTATAATTCACCTGCTTACCAAACATAAGAAAATCCCTTTAGGAAGCAGCAGTGCTCTCAGGCCAACACACATTCGTAGGCCAGCTACTCTGGAGCACCCTTTGTTCCTACCTGCTCACACACCTTGGCATCATTGTCTGAGATTGCCACAGCCATTCTTGTGTTAGTTACTATGGGACATCTCTCCTTAAGCTTTAGGGAAACCTTCACTTATTTTTCCTTGAATAACAGGTCTCTGGTCTGTCATGGGAACAGTTCTGCCAATTCAAATGTGACTGCGGTATAAACAGTAAAATGATTTAAAAATGAAAAAAAAAAAAAAGAATCTAAAAAAGAATTGAGTGTATAACTGTGCTGTGTACTGGAAACTAACACAATACTGAAGATCAACCATGTGCACGAATCTTTGCGACCACGTGGACGGTAGCCTACCAGGCTCCCCCGCCCGGGGAATTTCCCAGTCAAGAATGTTGGAGTGGGTTGCCATTTCCTCCTCCAGGGGATCGTTTCAGCTCAGGGACAGAACCCAAGTTTCTTCACCTACTGCACTGGCAGGCGGATTCTTTGCCACCACCACTAGTGCCATACTTCAATAAATATTTTAAAAAACTAGCTGACGTCAAGTCACATCACCCTTAAACATTTCAGCATGCAGATCATTAACTAGAGTTCAATATTGACTTATGTGTTTTTTTTTCTTTGAAGGTAAAATTTACTAGAGCACAATGCATCAGCATTAACTGCACAATTGCTGAGTTTTGACCAATACACGCACCTGTGTAAACCAACCTCCAGCCACAAACATTCCCCTCCCTCCATCAGGTTCTCTCTCTCCCTCAGCCCCTTCTCAGTCTACCTCCATCTCCACCGGCCAAAGGTAACATCTGCTCCAGTTTTGTTTTTTCCACTGGGGGTTACTTTTGTCTGTTCCAGAACTTCATATAAATGGAATCACAAGCCCCATCTCTGTGTCTAGCTTCTTTCACTTGTATAATAGTTTCAAGATTCATCTCTGTTGTTGCAAGTTCAGTAGCTTCAATTCTCAAATTGCTGGTACTAAATGAACAGTGAAAGTTGCTCACTCGTGTCCGACTCTTTGTGACCCCATGGACTGTTAGCCTGTCAGGCTCTTTTCCATGGGATTCTCCAGGCAAGAATACTGGAGTGGGTTGCCATTCCCTTCTCCCAACTCAGGGACTGAACCCAGGGATCCCACATTGCAGGCAGATTCTTTACCATCTGAGCTACCAGGGAAGCCCCACTAAATGAATATACCACAGTTGGTTGTCATTCACTTGTTTTTTTAACTTTTAATTATTATTAATTTATTAAATGTATTTGTTTTATTTATTTTTTTGGCTACACTGGGTCTTTGTTGCTGCGTGCAGGCTCTTCTCTAGTTGTGGCGACCGGGGGCTACTGTCTAACTGCAGTACACAGGCTTCTTATTGCAGTGGCTTCTCTTGTTGAGGAGCACAGGCTCTAGGGCACGTGGGCTTCAGTAGATGTGGCCCATGGACTTAGTTGCTCCGAAGTATGTGGCATCCTCCCAGACCAGGGATCGAATCAACCACTGGACCACCAAGCAAGTCTATGATTCACTTGTTGATGGGCATCTGAGATGCATTCAGTTTGGGGTAGTTAAAAGCAAAACTGTTCAGAACATTCACGTCCCAGTCTTGTGTGAATCGATGTCTCCCTGTCTCCTGGGTCTGTCCGGAGGAGTGGAATTACCTGGTCATACTTGGGCTTCCCTGGTGGTTCAGACTGTAAAGAATCTGCCTGCAATGCAGGAGATCTGGGTTTGAGCCCTGGGTCAGGAGGATCCCCTGGAAAAATGAACGGCAACGCACTCCAGTATTCTTGCCTAAATCCATGGGGTCACAAAGGACAGGACAGAGTGACTGACACTTTCACTTTTTTACTTTCGCTGCATATTTTCCTTGATGAGCAACTACCAAACTGCATTCTGGAATGGCTGTACCATTTTCCACTTGATCTTGTGAAGTCTGGGAGTTTTATGGCCCTCAGTTTTATTTTAGGTGAGATGGCAAGGGCGGGGGTGGGGTGGATTCCCAGACAGGAAGTGGCTTTGGAGGCCAGAATAGGGGCGCACCCAGAAGAAGCTACTACATCCCCCACCCCCCAAAGACCCGCCAACTAGCAACCTTAATTCCACCTGCAAGCTCGGTTTCCCTTTGCCACAGGGGTAGCATATACCCCCAGGTTCCGGGATTAGGATGCAGACATCGTTAAGGAGGGCATTATTTCTCCCCCCTCACATTGCCAGGTAAGGGGGGTTACTCTTAGGAGCAGGCAGGGATCAGAGGGGCCAAGAGAGGTTGCTGGGGGTTGGAATGTCCTGTCTTTTGATGCATGTGGTATTCTGGTTGAGAAAATGCAGTGAGCTGCGCTTCCATGCTGTGTGTCCCTCCTCTGTGCAGATTAAAATATCTGCCTTGAAAAACATCTAGGACCCATTGTTTTGGCTTCTCTTGTTATGGAGCATGGGCTTCAGTCATGGTGGGGCACCTGCCCAGTTGCCCTCTGGCACATGTAAACTCCCAGGATCAGGGGTTGAACTCGTGTCCCCTGCATTGGCAGGTGGATTCTTAAACCACTAGACCAGCAGGGAAGCCCTGGTTTTAACTAGCAGTAATCTTTCGAAGTTCCGACTACCTGGTCTTTGTTACAAACACTCCTATATATCCTGATTCCTCCCTCATCTCTTCAGAGCACTTTCTCAGAGCTATCTGAGAGGCTATCTCTGGGCTTGAAGTCCTCAGAATGTCCACAGGGTAAAATATAATTCTCAGCTTCTAGGTTGTGCATTTTTTTCCAGTGGATAGTGGATCTAGGGGGGCAGGAGTTGGGTTTGGTGACAAGGGGGAGGGGCGTGCCTTGGATGTCCCAGAGGCCACGGCTTAGGCTGGAGCTCCTCCGGGGTTGGGGCAGGTAATGGATGAAATCCCCCAGGGAGGAAGTGTACATGCGGTCAGCCCAAAGACCATGGCAGAGGGCGTTCAAGTTCAGGCATCAGTGAAGTGATGAGCAGCAGCCACCACTGTACACTCTGGCGTGGGAGGGACACCAAGAGGCCCCAGCCTGCCAGATGGGCCAAAGTGTCCAAAAAAAAAGGGGACAAAGAGTGCTGCTCACCATCCAGTTACACGAAGGGTTAAACTGCAACCTACAGGCAGTGCGCCCACAGGGGAATTCAGGATAGGAGAAAAACAGGATGAGGCATTCTGTGCTTTGGATAAAAAGGGTCCCTGGATAGTTCAGACTCATAGCCAGAAGAATTTCAATGACCTCAGATTCTTGCATCTTCCCAAACACAGAAAAGCACAAAAATGATTATCTTATCTGTTCTTTGTCACAGGCAGTCATATTTTCCCAAGGTGTGTGCTGGACTGCATGTATTTCTTACCCTCCAAAATTCATGTATATTCTGGCTCCTCCCTACCTCTTTCCAAGCTGTTTACTCCAAGCTACCAAGTGGCTGTCTCCAGAGCTACTGCCCTCAGTGAAGACCCTGAGGTGGCGTGGTGGTAAAGAACCCCCTTGGCAATGCAGGAGACACAGAGACACAGGTTTGATCCCTGGGTTGGGATGATCCCCTCGAAGAGACAATGGCAACCTACACCCCTATTCCTGGAAAATCCCTTGGACAGAGGAGCCTGGCGGGCTACAGTCCATGGGGTTGCAAAGAGTCAGACATGACTGAGCGCACATATAAAGACTCTGAATAAAAAGTAAACTCACAGTTCTCCTATTGTGCAATTTTCCTTAAGACAGGTGTGTGACAGTGGTTAGTTTAGACCCACAAGGTTCAGGAGACCCAGACAGAACAGACAGATGGATAGGAGGATGGAGGGACTTCTGCCCAAGTGGCTGATGTCTATAAAAAAAGATAAATTAGGAGTTTGTGATTAACATATAACATATAACATATAACATATAACACTACTTCCCTGGTGGTTCAGACAGTAGAGAATCCATCTGCAATGCAGGAGACCAGGTTTGATCCCTGGATTGGAAAGATGCCCTGGAGAATGGCTACCCACTCCAGCATTCTTGCCTGGAGAATCCCATGGGCAGAGGAGCCTAGTGGGCTACAGTCCATGAGGTCGCAGAGAGTCAGACATGACTGAGCAACTATACACACAAATATGAAACTGATAAACAAAAAGGGCCAGTTATATACCACAAGGAATTGTGTTCAATATCTTGTAATAACCCAGAATGGAAAAGAATCTAAAAAAGAATATATATGAATATATATATATATATATATATATAAAAGAATTTAAGGAATTCTGAAAAAGTATTCATATATACATATATGTATATTATATGTGTGTGTGTGTGTGTGTGTATATAGCTTTTTGGGTAGCTCAGCTGGTAATGAACCCGTCTACAATGCAGGAGACCCCAGTTCGATTCCTGGGTCTGAAAGATCTCCCTGGAGAAGGGATAGGCTACCCACTCCAGTATTCTTGGGCTTCCTTGGTGGCTCAGATGGTAAAGGATCTGCCTGCAGTGTGGGAGACTGGGTTTGATCCCTGGGTTGGAAGATCCCCTGGAGGAGGGCATGGCAACCCACTCTAGTATTCTTGCCTGGAGAATCCCATGGACAGAGGAGCCTGGAGGGCTATAGCCCATAGAGTCACAAGGAGTTGGACATGACTGAGCAACTAACCATATATATATATATATAAACTGAATCACTGTCCTATACACCTGAAACTAACACAACATTGTAAATTAACTATACTTCAATTTTTAAAAATGGTTAAAAAAACACATAAACAAATTCACTAACAGGAAAATTTGGCTTGATCCCATGCACCCACAGGGGCATGAGTGCACATGCCCAGCCTGGAATTTCTGGCCCCACCCCTACACAACCTCCCAGCAAGAGCTACATTCACAACAGGGTATCTATAGCCTTCTCAAGGGCCCTCCCACCTATCTGAACACCCCTCAGTACAGATGTAAGTGGGCTGGGCAGTGAAGGTCCACAGCCAGCGAGAGCTGGAGCCAGAACTCAGAAGTCCAGGCCCCCAGCCACACGTTCTTCCCCCACCCAAGATCTGGGTCCCTGCACCCATGGTGCTTGCATGTCATGATGAGCTTTGGGGACAAGTGAAAATGCACAAGAGCAATGGCATCCCATAATCCCAGGCCTCTGCCAATGTCCCCAGCTCAAAGCCCACTTTCACTGCTTGATATACTCTGCTCCCAGCACACACCCCAGCTTTTACAAATGCTGTCCTCTGCCTAGAATGACCATCTAATACTTATTGCCCCACACTGAGTAAT